AATATTATAGTAAATGTATAGCACATCCGGTTCGAATGTCCGACCCTCGTATTACGTTACATTTTAGTGACGTCACGTCCGCGCATACCTTCTGTCTCCGCTATAAACAAGAGCCTACAAGCCAAGTTAATCGAATTTTCAAACAATTATAATTTTAAAATAAAGTCATTAATGACCTCTACGTGTTCACGCTTGAGGTGGTTTGACTGTAAGTGGTTGGGGCCTTGAAGCATTCATAGTGGCTCTCTATGTAGAGCCTAATGAGGCATTTTGTTTGTCTTCGCCCTTGTGGCCTTCTATTTTTATTTTTGTTTGTCTTCGCCCTTGTGGCCTTCTATTTTTATTTCTATCGGAATAATAGAGTGCAAATACGCATATCAAGCTTTGCTCTATATGTTATGCCCCTTCCACACTATGCCGGATAATTTTGAATCCGCAACTCTCACACCGAAACCGAAAAAAAAAWTTCCGTCCACACATGAAAACGAATAAAATGTTTGGGCATGTGCATCGAAGCTGAAATTGAGCCCGCGGCAGTAAAACGACGGCCTTTTTGTTTGCCGCTTTTCCGCACAATCCAAATATGGAATTGATCATACCATAAATGGAGTGAGCTTTCTCTACTCCAACTTCGAGACTAAGGCCCCGTCCACACTATGCCGGATAAATTTGAACCCGAATGGGGAGGGAAGGACGAAAGAAAAATACTTTTGACTTGTAACCAATCTTCCTCGGCCAATCGACACGGACAGACAGGCGGTGACCAAGAAAAATTGTGGGACTTCTCGCATTCTAGATCACTGTCTCGCCCCTGACATCAAGCGACATTTGATAGGCTTTTACCTATATTCTGCTGTGACCGTTTCTTACATGTCCTACCCCCCTTAGGTGCCGTTTACATGGAGAAAATGTTGCCCCTCAAGCTGTCCTGGGAAAGCCAACTTTTCCCTAATTTCTTTTTAAATTGACTTCGACCGTCTATGTCAGATATTTTACTTTGCCTCGGCTAGAAGGGTCGCCCTTCTGGTAGGGGTTGCTCTTTAGTTTGTAGTGAATTCCTAATTCAGAAGTTGCCTAGATAGATATTGCTATTGCTGACTGTCGCGGCCGCATTTTGTTTCGACCAAACTCATCAAAAGTACTCCTCAAGCAGTTTTAATTTTTATTTTTATTAACTGAACACGCATATGACTTATTGCACAACGTCGTTTGGAGCTTCGGAAAAGGACGAATTTTGCCCCMCCCCCCCCCCTCCCCTAGTCTCGCTGTTTGGCAAAGCAACAAAAAATTCCTTTCAAACCGGTTAGAACTAGATTTTTCCTGTAAAGGAGACACGCAATACCATTGATCCTCTTAGGGGAGGATAAAGTTTCTAATACCCATCACGATCCATAAATGAAACAATCTTTTTTTGATCAAAGATACATCCGATGCTCAAAAAATCCTTTAATATTGAATTTCTTAATAAATGTTTGTTCATTTGTAATATTCTAAAATGGATTTTTCCCCTGACTTGGAAATCCCATATATAGCCTTGTATGGACAAGCAAAGGTCACTCATGAATGCACTTAACTATGATAAGAATTCTGATTGGCTAATCGACAGCTCCGATTAACCCCGGTCTTGCCAGTCAAGAACTTGCGAGTTTGGATGTGACCAGTACGGGTCTTGGTACAGTGCGAGTCAAGGAGTTGCGAGTTTGGATGTGACCAGTACGGGTCTTGGTACAGTGCGAGTTAAGAAGTTGCGAGTTACGAGCTGCGAGTTTGGATGTGACCAGTACTTCGTAAAAGTTTAACCATTAAACAAAACATTTGTGTTATGGTTTGAATAGAAACTTGTTTACAATTAAAGAATAAATAACGGTGTATTTTGTCTTTATTACGTCACAGTTGAGTTTGGATCATGACCAGAGGTGCGTCGCGTCACGTTCCAGGTCTCTGATTTTTTAAATGGTGGCAAGTTTGAAGGAGATAGATGACAGCTAAAAAGGTCAAAATACCCTTATCACGACGAATACTTTGTTTTGGCATTTTGAGAACGTAAATTGCCAAATTTTAGGATTTATTAAGAAGTTATAGCGCATTTAACGGCATTGGAAACGAAGGAAAAATTGTTTGGTTACCAATCTGACTGTGAAAACGATTGATATGAGGTTTTAGAGAACTAATCTGATAAAACCGACAGATTCTTAAAGCCAAATTATCATTTAATCTAATGTCCTAGCGTGAATTAACGATTCTCTATCTTTCTACTGAAAAATATTACCCAAATAAAAGACAAATTTCTGACCCGCGACAAAAATGAGGAAACGTCGAAACATGACGTTCCGCCATAAATTAGTCAAATATCAACAAATGGATAGATGAAAATACCAAGCAGATTACATAGTTTCTTTATATATGCCAATTTTATATGCCGATCCTTCGTTTTTAAATTCTTTTCAGTTCAGAAGGAGTTCAGTAAAAAGCTTTAAACTCGTTTTAAGCGTTTTTGTGTATTCAACGAAAACTCCAGTAGTATCATATGAAACGCTTACAATGGCAAGGTCGGGCTTCATTGCAAACTATAGCAGATATTTCAATTAGAAACTATCACAAAACATTTACATATTGAAGCCTAAGAAAGGATTGAAGTGACTGAATTAATTATTTATTTATCATTGGTATGTGTGTTTGTGTGTATGTATGTTAGTATTTTATATTATTGTATGATATGCAGGGGAGGAAATGATACTCGCAACTTGCAATTTCCTGACTCACAGAGTTCCACGCGCTCGATTAACCCAACCGGCCGCGAAAAACCAGTTTGCAGAAACCGCTTCAAATGATAGCGACCCCTGGGATCCCGAGGACGGTCCAGGGACTGATCCTACGTCAACGATGTCCTCTCATTTCTCATCAAGCACATACAAATGTGTTAAGTTTGTGCGCGTTTTTAAAGATTTTTTTAAAGATTCATATTTATTTGGAAGATCGTAATGCCAACTTTTCTCGTGTAGTCAATGGTCATTATTTACTTACACCATTTAGAAATCCCGGTGGGGGGGGGGTACTCCTCTATATTCGCTATACGGGTACGTGCCGCCAAACAGGGTCTGGTTTTCAGCGATTCCCCCCCCCCCCCCCCCCGGGTTAGAAATCTCACACGGAGTGAAAGCGTGATTCGAACATCGTAATTCGAGTGTGAAGCATAGTTATTGGCAAAGACATTATGATAGATTATTTTTGAACCATGACTTGTTTCATACCGGTCAGGAAACCGGTTTAATTGCATTCAGGTCATTTCGACAAAAAAACAGTTCATCTTTATTTGGCACGTACGATTGATTCTAGAAAAAACATAATATAGGTCCATGATGTGTCCTGCATATCAAAACTTCTATTTGTCTTGTACTATTGATTGAAAATAAAATGAAATCTAGGTACAATGATGTGTCCTGTATATCAAAATACTATCTTCCATTAAGTATACTATGGGGGATGTTGACTTCTGCGGGATGTTCTTGGCCGATGGCAGACCATATAACTATGCAGACTAAGGTCTGCCCGCTAGACAAGCAGCTTTACAGCGTTGATCGAGCTAAGATATATAGATATTATAATTCTCAGATCATTTCGTGATTAAAGATTCAAAATAGAATCGCTTTATGAGTCTTACGATGGATAAAATAATCTATAAAGAAGGGTTGAATAATATTGCTGCTGCCATATTATATTTATTTTTTACAAAGAATATTTTTGACTTAATTAAAGTATGACCTTTAGAGAGGTCCGTCTAACTGCAYGAGTTTATGAGTTTGTCGTGAAGCATGACCGCATCTTGATGCGATTTGGCAAAGACTGTGAGTTCAAACTGGCTTTTTCCATCTTCTAGATCAGTAGCGGACAAGATGATAACTCTACCTTCATTCGTGTTGTTGATGTCGTTTGCGCTTTTGACCAAAGTCTTGGCTGACGCATTGATGGTTTTCCCGAGAGCCAGAGTCGAATGTTTGAAGCCCAGCTGCGCCATATAAGGGGCTATTAGTAAGTACGGAGTATCGCCACCAACTCGTGGGTTCATGTCTACTAAGTRCATTCCATGATCAGTGATCAAGATCTCAATGGTAACCAGACCAAAGTAGCCTTGCTTATGAAGGTATTTTACGACAGGAACAACGAACTCATCGTACACAAGGTTCTTATAGTAGTCTTGTTTGTCCCAATCCACCACAGCGCTGCACCAAGAAAATCCTTTGAAACCGCCGCACGTTGTACCAACCCAATAGACCTCGCCATTTCTGTGCAAGTGAAACTGAAAGCTTGGAACTTCTCGGATCCCCTGCACCATTTCTTCGTAGATGATGTCATCTTTCCAGTCATTCTCTTCCCTGATTTCTTTGAGGATCTCCGACAGCTCAATCTTGTTCTTGGCAAGTTGATTCCCGCGTCCAGACCAGCTCATATCTACTTTGACCAAACAGGGGAAAGAGACTGCATTCACGTTCATAAAGTGTTTCGGGCACGTCACACCAACCTCGGGGATACTGCTCTTCAACTGTACTCTATAGAGGACATCTGGGTCAACGCTATGTTTGTTATCTGGAATAACTTGCATTGATCCGGTGGTTACGATCGGTACATGATCTTGAAGCCCCTCGTCGATGGTTTTGATATCTGCAGTAGGGAAATCAGGAAGCCATTTCTTCCAATGATGTCTCAAAAACGACGGAGGCTGTTGGTCCAACAATATGGGCACCTCATCTCCCGCCGTAGGGACGTTACGGAAGGGAAAAATAAAGTGCATGAAGGCTTCGGAAGGCGGAGGGCAGTCAAACACACGATATTTCTTGTCGTTGTTAAATTTATACCCTGGTAAGTGCGAGGAGGGCCAATACGGCAAATAATAAGCATCTTTAAGGTCCTTTTTGATGAGGCTACCAGTGGTAACGACCTTAATGTTGGACATCCTTTCCCCAAACCGTCTGTTCAACTAGATTATTCCTGCAGACCAGGTCGCCCTTTTTGAAGCAAATATTTGACATGTTGTCTGAATGTTCAGGTATAGACAGGACTTACCAAACAGGAGTAAACTAGTTATATAGAAGACGTGATGAGCGGCTAAGGAGATGAAGGAGGTATTGATTGAGGGATGATAAACTGTCTGTTATGCAATAAGGTTGCCAAGGTTGCCAAACAGGTTTGTGCTAGTTATGGAGATAAAGCACAGGTAACCCAAGTGCAGAATGAGTGAAGATCGTAAGTTTACTGAATTTACTAATGAGATGACGGTTAGAATCGTGAATGGTTCGAAAATATGCTCACAGTAAAGCTTTGAATTTTATTTTGCCGACAAATATGTCATGAAAGTTATAGCTTGATAGTACAGGAACATTTTGGTGCTACATTTTGAGACAGAAATTGTGTTTTTGTGGGGTTTTGTGCTGTTCGAAAAGCTGCCATCACTGCTGAGTGTATATTATTCACCAATCCCGAATGTCGTATAAGCTAAAATGTGTTAGTGATATACAGCATGGAACAAACACCGATTTTTGAAAATTTTAAATGTCTGTCTTACACATTACACCTTTTGCCGTTCATTAACAGAAAATGTACATTCATTTGTGCCAATAGTTGTATCAATAACGTGTAATGTACTTTCATCAACACCACAAGTAACAWCATTAGCGCGGATCAACTTTCAATAACGACAATTGAATATGCGTGTACATTCATAGGCATCAATGGCCAATCAATAGCGCGTTCGTACATTCATATGCGCGGA